CGGGGACGGCGGCGGCCGGAGCGCGCCAGGCGAGTGGGACCCGGGGTTGGGTCGGGGTTCGAGTCCGGTCCCGGGTTCGAGTGTGATCCCTTCCACTACTGTCCCGCCAGTCCCGGGGTTCGACCTCGCGCGTGTCTAGGAACCGCTGTCTCCTACTCCACTTCTGCCCAAACTTTTCGGACCTGGAGGGACTTGGTGCCCCGTCCTCATTTCGACCCCATCCCTGCGCCCCTCTCCCCCGATCCACCCCAGCTGTCCCCTGTGCCAGCCTCATTCCCCCACCGCTGTCCCCCTTCGCCCTCCTCCGCGGCCCGAGCCAGGCCCCAGGCGGCGGGAAGGCGGCCGGGCGTCCGGCCGGGCTGGGCCTCGGTCTGGCGGCTGGGGAGGTGTGGGGAGCGGCAGCTGTTTGCCATTAGCCGGGGACCCCGCAGGCCCCTCCTGCTCGGGGCGGGGCCTCCGCGCCCCAGACTGCAGGGTGGGGAGACGGGCGGGAAGCCCCCAGAGACGCCCCGAACGGTCTTGAGTGGAGGCTTTGGAAGATCTTGCACCCCTTTCCAGAACCTCCACTCTTGAAGTCTCCCCATCTCTCTATCCCATTTCTCCTCCCCAGCCTCTAGGGGTTCCCCTAGTGAGAGAGGGGGCTGCGCCATAGACAGCCCACCACACACCCCTGTATCTCATGTACTCCCCCTGGACTCGGGGTCACCAGCCGTCGTGGACGGCGATGAGGTGCAGGACCCTCAGACCTCCCTCACCAGTCATCTGGAAAGTGGGTAGATGGTGTGGAGTCTGGGAGTAGTACCTGGTGGGCAATGGAGTGATCCATGCGACCCCGGTTCAAATCCAGGCCCAGTCATTTTCCTGCCACCCGTTACCCTCAGCAGGCTCCTTTCTCGCTGTGCATTCCAGAAATTCATCTGTAAAATGGGGTCACTGGGGACCAGCAGTTAGTGTAATGGCTATGTTGCCGGACTCCCACATAGTCGGCCGCGGTTCGCGTCCCTGACCCGGTTGCTTAAAACCCATGCTGAGCGCGTGTGCGTGCGTGCCCAAGATCCCGAAAAGAGAATGGAGGAGAAGGGATTGCGGCGTGGCCATCCCCCCTGGGGGGTGATTTCTTGCTTTCTATCTCTCTATCTCTCTCTGTCTGTCTGGTGAGCGTCACTCAAGAAAAAAAAAAAAAAAAAAAAAAAAAGGCGGTCACTGTCCACCTCCTGGTTTTCCTGTGACCATGAAAAGCGTCGCTGGTATTATTATTACTACGAACCAGTAGTTACAAATATTATTTCTCTGCCCGCCTCCAGTGGTCCCCCACACCACCCCCATCTTTTTTTTAATCCTGCTTCGAAGTTTCTCTTAAATTCCCAGAAAATATGTGGGACCCACAATGGATGAGCCTCTGAGCAGATGGAAAAACCAAGTTGCCTCTAACGGGTGGACTGTGTGTTCCAGGTGTGGACAGCCAGAGAAGTGAGGACAGAGACGTGGAGAGACAGGCAGAGAGACGTGCGGAGACAGGTGCAGAGACACGGAGACGTGGAGAGACAGAGACGTGGAGAGAGACTCAGCAGGACCCTAAGCAGGACAGGACAGAGGACGAGCCCCCGCCCTGCCTTCATGCCTGGCAGGTGTCCCACCCGGCCCATCCTCCCAGGTATCCCAGCCCTGGCGCCCACAGTTTGGAAAAAATCAGTTCTGGCCTCTGTGGGAGGGTGGCTGGAGGTCAGACGGCAGAAAGGACTGGCCCAGGGGCCAGTAGTTGGCGTAATGGCTATGTCACTGGATTCCCACGTAGTCGACTACAGTTTGAGTCCCAGACCCGGTGGCTTAAAACTCGTGCTGGGCGCGTGTGCATGGTGCCCAAGATCCCGAGAGGAAAATGGAGGAGAAGGGATTGCGGTGTGGCCATCCCCCCTCGGGGGTGATTTCTCATTTTCTGACTCTCTGTCTCTCTCTGTCTTTCTGGTGAGTGCACGCGCCCTATAGCAAAAACCTCTCCCCCAAAAAAAAAAACCTCTCCAAAAAAAAGGACTGGCCCAAGCGAGGCAGAGCGCTAGGGACCGAAGGGTCCTGGCCAGCCTCCAGGGCCAAGGGGTACCAGTGAGAAACATTGATTGTCCCGCCCTTCTGCAGCCTCCGGCACCCCTCTTACTTCCTCCCCTCCACCCAGGACTTCCCGGGCCTCTTCCCCGCCCTTTCCCTGCTGCGCCCCCAGCCCGGACACATCCTGGGGGGGCAGGAAGTTCTGTGTAGCCCAGCAGCGAAACTGTTTATTTTTAGAGAAAATTGTTTCCATAAAGGGGAAAGGGTTTCACTCCTCACTGCCTCCCCCCACGACTCTCCCTGCACCCCCACCAGTCTTTGCTTTTGGGGTCACTTGGGGTCCCCCCACCCCATGCCCTGCTTCTCCTTGTCCCCCCCCCATTTATCTATTTTTTTCAGGTTTTCATAGGTCTTAGCCCCCCCCCTGCATCTTTCTGTGACCAGCCTGGGGCCTGGGTTGAGGGGAGGGGGTGCAGGAAGGGTGGGGCCTGCTGGGCTTGGGCCCCCCAGCCTGGGGCCCGCGTGGAGGTGGGGCTGTGGGGACAGCTGGAGCCTGTCCAGGGGCTGGACAGATGTGCAGGCGGGCGGTGAGGTTGGGTTTCTTTGTTCCAGGCCTGGGGGCCCCCGCCCCTTTCTACAGCCAGGCTGGGTGTGCGCCTGTGTGTGTGTGGGGGGGGTCCTAGACAGGGGTGGGGGGTGGTGGAGGCAGCTTGGGGGAAGGGTGGCCACATCCCCTCCTCTCTGCCCTGCAGCCTCCTCCTGACCCCTGGCCCCCTCGTCCCCCTACTCAGGAAAGTGTCACCCGGTGCTGCAGAC